CGTCGTACAAAAGAACAGCTGAAGGCGACAGATGCTATAGTGAAGCGACAGTACAAGTGTGGGCAGAAGACGACAGAGCAGCAGGTGGGCAAAATCAACAGAAGCCTGGCCAATGCTGGCCTGCCTCAGATTGAGGATTGGGACTCTTGGAAGAAGAGCTTCCTCAAGCGTGGCAGGAAGGTGAAAAAGAACCTGAAGAAGGGTCGGAAGCAGAGGCACGGCAAGGAGGCTACAGACTTCATCAAGTCCGTTGGTGGGGCTGCGGTGGCTCTTGCGTGCTACATTTGCAGCAGGCTCTGTGCAAGCGAGTTTGCGTTCGGCGCAAAGGCCCTCAAGCAGAAAGGGGGAAAGCTGCACAAGGCTTTGCCGGCCTTCTTGAAGAGTACCTGCATGAAGCCACTTCGCTTGGTACACCAAGATTCCTCCAGGTGCAACCGCTGGAGGGAGCGATGGGGCGAGCTGGAAGGAACGACTCCTACAGTGAGGCAGCTCTTCACTGTAAGTCAGTTGCATCCTGTCCAGTCAGAGCCCGACATCGAGCGTGAGTTCATGCACATGGTCTCTGACGAGTTGTTGGGAGCATTCGTGCTCATTCAGGCCCGGATGCGTGTGCCGGAGCTGAAGGAGTGGCTTCTCCAACACACTGATGCACAGAACCAGCAGGTCACCTCCTTTGACAGAGAGCACTTCAGGATGACTTGGTCTGTCCCTTCGAATTGTTGGTATACTTAATTAGAAACCATGATCCACATAATCCAGTCCACCTATTAAAAAACAGGTTCCCCCCCTAATAAGGAAACCTCAGTCGCATTATTTGTATAGGGGGTCCCTGAAATCGTCGTGGTCCAAAATAGGGTCACCTGGAAAGAGTTTCAAAACCCAAAAGTAGTCCATGAGCATTCTATATATAATCCGTTTGTAAACTCGTATCAAAAATGCAAAAAACCTCCAGATCAAAGGGTCTTCCTTTTCCCCTACAAAAACCTTCATTAGACTTAGTGATTCTTCAGTAGACTAACAGCTAAAGCTTTCGAAAGGTGATGTCGCTGTCCCATGCGGTGTTGCATGACCTCGGTCATTGGGGGAAGTGTGTTTGCGTGAGTCCGTGTCATTGGGGGAAGGAAAGCCTGCTGGTGTAAGCGCGGCGTGTCATGGTGGATAGACAGGGCGGACAGAGGTGGGCAGTTACGGTTGTTTTTGGAACCTAATAAGAAAAACACTTCCAAAATCGGCCATGTTGGTAGTTTAGTAGCGGCTTGAAAGGGCGGCAATTAAAAAACACATATAAAGTATTTAGGGGGATCCGACATGACTTTTTTTAAATAGGGGTCCGTTTTTTGATCGGTACTCGGGATTAATAGGTGGCTTCATGCAGGTACACTTCAAAAACAACAAAAGTCCTGCACAACTTCCCCCCCTTTCTGCTCGAGGGTCTTTGGATCCGAACCTTGTGCTGCAAGATATCGCATTCCTAGTTTGACTCCTTAGCTGCGCTTGCGTAGCTTTTGATTGTGTCTCTTCATGCCCCCCGGTTCCAGGCTTCTACGGGGGGCACTTTCCATAGCAGGTAATGTAATTTTTTGCGGGGCGTATTGGACGCGCGAAAGGAATCGTCTCTACTATCTACCATAAAATCTTCGATGATCTGACGGGACCTTATTCCTGTTTCGGCTACCATGTCGTCTTCCCACACTTACACTTGTCATGCCGCTTCACTATGGCACCTGTTGCCTTCAGCTGTTCGTAGCCTAGGACGCTTCCTCAGGATGCCTCTAACCTCTTCTAATTTTGGCTTGGAAGTTTGTTGCTGCGTTCTCGCATGCATTCAATCCAAGGCAAGGGCTGGAGAGCACACGGAGGTCACGACGGAGCAGCTCGGCCTGACCAGCAAGGAGCCCTACCTGGTGGCGTCGCGGCTCCTTGAAGCTTTCGCGCCTCGTCTCAATTTTGTTACAAAGTACCGAGCTCTGCGAATCCACGTGGCGCTTCGAAGTGTGCAATGTTGCATGCTCTGCGTGATTGACTGATTGACTGTTGATGTGCAGGGTTTGTTGCAAAGAATGACGTTTTCTGCTTCGACAAAGCTCGGGAAGATCCTGCCCTTAGGAATCCAGCGCCTTCAAGAGGCGCATGGGATAGTGGTTCCGAGAGGGGTGAAGAGTTGCCTCCACTATGGCCCAGGTATCGCATTCCTAGTTCGACTTCTTAGCTGCGCTTACATAGCTTTTGATTACTTAGCTGCGCTTACCCCCGGTCCTGGATCCAAATATAGGCGATGATATGACAAACCGATGATCTGACGGGGCCTTCTTTTCTGTTTCGGCTACCTTTTTCGGTTCTGTTTTTTTCGGTTGCAGAGCATTGGGTAGAACAGATTTTCAGTCCATCAGGTCAGGGCTTTCTGGTCATGCGCAATGTTTATACACGGCTTTCCTGCAGGGTGGGTGGCTTCAATTCCATCAAGCGAAGAGAGGGTCCCACGCACGCATGCTTCCCGGTAAACAGTTGTGAAGTTTCGAGTGTTTGGGTGTCTTGCATCCCCGCACACATTGTACACCTGCAGTCGTGCTAATTCAGCTTGGGGCGTTTCGTCCTGACTAATTCATGTTCTTCACAATTGGTTTTGGAAGGTACCATTTCTGTCCCTGGTGTCGTGGGGGTTCTTTTGGCCACACCAATCCCTCGCCTTGATTTCCGCCGACCTTCTCCAGGTTTGATCGCATTGCTGCACGATTGCGATCGGGGGAGGTGAGCACCTCGGAGTTGGAAAGCGCAGCTCGGGAAATTCCCGGCGTCGGCAGCTTCACGCAGCCTGCCTGAAACGGATCAGTGGGCGTGTGTTGCCTGGACTTGGTTTGTATTGGTGGAATGAAATTAATTAGATGGTTCAGCGGCACGCTGGAAGGTTAAACCTGACACCCTGGAAGGTTAAACCTGCCAGGTTAAACCTTCTTTTGTTGCTTGTGACACCAAGGTCTGAGACTGACTGTTTTGGAATCATGCCTTAGCATCAAAGCATCAAGGTGTTCAGAAATTAACAGTCCCAGATACATTCCCAAAACAGCAGTGTTGAAGTTCAATGTGTTTCTGCGTCTAAGCTATAGCTGCCTCGGTGCCTTGTCTGAGGGCATCCTGTGTATCCGAAGTGGCCTCATGCTACCTTGGTGACTACCACGAAGCCGCTATTGCAAGCGATGTCCTGGATCCAGTGGCGGATCCCAGAGTTTGCGTCGGCACGAACTCTAGTCTCTTCCTCGAGTTTGCCAGACAAAGCCCAGAAGTGCCTTGTTTGTGAAATACCTTTCCGTTTGCTTAAGCCGCATCACACACATCATTGGATGTTGCGGAAACGGTAAACGGAAACAAAGAGGAAGCAAAGCGGCAACTGCGCAAACAAGTCTGAAACCTCGAGTGTTGCAGAAGCAAGATCAGAAACAGATAAGAATATTTTCTGGTTTCTGCTAGCTTGCTAGAACTGCCACTGCTTCTCCATTTTTTCAACTGCTTCGGTTTATTGTTGTACCTGGCGGGCGTATACTTGAAAACGGCTTGGTTAGCTCACTCCGGGGCAGTGTCGGCGCAGTCTTTGGTTTCCAAGGATTACACAGCGACGATCAACCGCCTCACCCAGACGGTTGGCAGCCTTCTGCCAAGGGAGATTATCGCCGGACAGCAGAAACTTTGTTGAAACCCACTCTAGAAAGAATTAGATAGGATCCTGGATTGAACATGCGCTTGGGCAGACCGATGTAACATGTCGTGAGACAACCAAGTGGGGTTGAAGGTGTGTATGAGTGGTGTATGATGTATTGCGCGTAAACATGTTTACGGGGTTGTGAAGAAGATACAACAAGAGTACATATTTTTGACTGATAGACTTTTCCATTGCTTGCATTGCATATGCAATCTTGGTTAAAACCTATCAGCACTATGTTTTGCCGTACTCTCGATGTCGATGTCTTCCTTTTTGCTATCCAAGGAACATCAGCGTTCCAAAGCCCAGCGCCCGCACTATCCAGCGGTCTTGCTGCAAGCTATACCAAGTTGCTTTGGTAGCACCGTGGCCGCATTCAGTGCAGGTTGGGAGCACACAGGGGGCCTCTTGGCTGGGTCCTGGGTCGACGCTTACTTCTTGGGGTTCAATATATGCGTCAGCTGGACACAATCTCCGCCTGAGTTGCATCCACACGATTTGAAACCTGAACCTGCCAGCAGCCATGGCCAAATAATAGTATTTTCATTGTAAACCCAACAACGACAATCAACTTCTTCACGAGTGGTTGGTTAGGAAACAAGGCCATGTAAAATTGTATAGGGAACCCCCCTCATCAATGATTTGGTCACTGAAAGCTCTGTGATGCAGCAGGTTTTGAGTTAGACGCTTCGTTCTTGCAATTTTTCACACCGTATACGTGTAATAGTATTGAGCCCAAGTTTTCGCAACGATGGCTATTTAATTAAAGGATGTCTTTGTGTTAGGGGCTCGTGCAAGGGCTATGCCAGATATGAAAGTGATACAAGTAAAGTTTCCAGCTTTACCTACTTTTGTTTGTATTCTTGTCTTGATACTCAAGAAGATTTGTTTGCGGTGTCCATGGTGGTCAGGTATGTTCCAGCAGATGGTCGGCATCATGGCCGAAGTCGTTCGGAAGAAGAAAAGATCGCACATCTTGCAGGGCCAGTCCATTTCCTTAGCTTTGGACGACAAAGGGCCTTACAGGGTTCTGAGGTACCGGACCTGCAGCAAAATTTGGAAAGATGGCGGTGGGACAAGCCCCACGCATGAAGGCATTTTGGCAGTTCTCAAGCATGGTGGAAGGGGCTCTAGCATGACATGCGCTGATTTGGACGAAGACTATAGTTTGCGAATCGCTGAGTCCGTTCAGACCGCTGTGAAAAGGTTGGCAACACCTATGGGTGAGGAAGAGGATGGCAGTGTAGTCACCCACTTTTTGTCCAATGTCCGAGTCTATGCTTCTGACGGCGGCAAGCCGGTGCGAAAAGCCGGGCAACTTTTGCGCAACTGCATGCCTTCTCTTGAGATCTTTATCCGAGACCGTGCGCATGCAATTCGGCGAGCCACCCTTCCCTTAACCTTTGAAGACAACTTTCAATCTTTTTGGCACCATGTCTGGGACAAGAGGCATGCAGTGATCCCAGACATTGAAAACAGCTCAGAATGGAAGTTGAGGTTACAGTTGATTCAAAAGTCGATGCTTGAAGAAGAAGGTGCCGTGGGCGCCCAGGCTTTGACGTGTGCCCTGCGCACATTGAGTTTCGCCAAGCAGAGGTTCGACAGCTACGCAAGTCCACAAGCAAAGTATGTTGCACTTCTGCTGCCTATTGCTGTCCTGCTTGCTTCCATTGCAGCAGATGGCCGCAAAAATGCAGACATCAGAGCTCGGGCGTTGAAGGCCCTGGAGATGATGACTCCAGAACATATTGTGACTGCTGGTCTCTCTGCAGACTTTTCTGCGGAGGTTCTTCGGTTTGTGCGGCTGCACGATGTTCGTAACTGGGCTTGGCGTGCTGGAAGCAACATTTTTGGATCCTATTTGTGCATATGGGATTATTTCGTTTTGTTTGCTATTTTGTAAACGTTTGGCCTGCAGTTTTGGGAAATAGCATATTCAGGGCAACCCTTCTTGGGGTTGCATTTGATCGCTGTTCGGATGCGAGGCCAGGGTTCGGTAGGCGCATATTTTCTTGTTTGCAGTACCCATGTGTGTTTGAGTTTGAGTCAGGCGACCACGATGTGGCTGCCACATCTTACGAGAAGTTTGAGTTCACCCGACGATTGAAGATGCTATTTTCTGACGGTGTCATTTTGACGCCAGATGGGGTTGCTGAGGACACGTACACCAACTTGGCAATCAGGAATGCCAAGCAGGCAGGAGCCATCCAGTTTGGAGACAGGCTTCATACTTTGTGGCGGCCACTAAGCCGTGAACGGGCAAAGGCATTGGCGCAAAGCGTCAAGAATGTTGCTGATGTAGTAAACGACCGGATCGAGGCTGAGATGCACAGCAAGGACCTTGACATGGCATTTAGCTGCTTTGATTTGAGGTTGTGGCATGAAGCAAAGGAGAAGCTAGACAAAGGTCAGGTTCAGAGTTGGCGCGCTTTTGAAGCTGCAATGGGCTTGCGGGTGAATCGTCTGAGCAAGACTCTTGGCATCAATGCCGATTTGGCCCGCAGAGAACTGACTGCTGCAGCTCTTGCTCTTTTGAAAGAAGCAAAGATCGTCTCGCAAACAAACGACAATAGACCTTTGTGGGCTAGAGTCCTTGGCATGGGAGCACCTTTCAACTCCATCCAGAAAACGTGGCAGTGCTTGCCCGATCTGGTTTGCTTGTACTTGTCCGTGCTTGATGGAGAGTGCAGTGTGGAGCGTGATTTAGCCCACCTTCGGAACATCCTGAGCGAGCACAGCGGGCCCTTGGACGAAGATGGTTTGTGCTTGTCAGATCTTTTGGAAGTGTGCTTGGACGGTCCCTCCAGCGAAGAGGAGGTTGCAAAGAAAGCCATACTCAGTTGCCCTTCCGAGTGTCTCCCTTTCGAAAGCCACACAGACCAAACTCTTTTGCTGACCGAGTTCTCGAGGGCTTGCACCGAGATTTGGGTGCGCATGCATGGCCGCCGATTTCGATGCTACCGAGTGCGCAAGGATGCAGGTCTGAAGCGCAAGCCTAAAGAGGGCACATTTGCCAACATGGTGCGCAGCAGGAATCGTGCAGTGACTTCGCTCTTGCGAGCAAACAAGCCTTTGGATGCTGCTTCGAGCACTATTTTTGACCGTGCTTATGGTGAGGTGGCGCCATCCGTGAAGCCAGAGGGTCAGATTCTCAACAAAAGAATGTCTTCTTTTGTCTCCAGAACAAAAACATTGATCCAGGTCAAGCGCATGGGAAGCTCAGCCGTGGCATCTGCAAAGAAGCTTACAAAGAAGCAAGTGGCCAAGTCAAGCGCACCATCATCGCAAACGCCGGCTCTGAGGCGAAGCAATGTGTTTGCAGGCAGAGACGAAATTCGGATTCGGCATACCAGCAAGATCTTGGACACGACCATGGTTGCACGGGCTGGCATTGGCACCCTCCTTCGCCCAAGCAGCAGCAAGTGGCCAAAAGTGACGGAGGTAGAAGCTTGTGAAATCGTGATTGTGGAGAGCATGCTTGCTTTGGAGCGAATGACTTCCTCGACTCTCGCATGGTTGAAACACGTTTGGTTCGTTTTCAAGTTTTTCTTTTTGTTTTTGCATCCTGGTCACTGTGCACAGTTTACCTGCCATGCGTGGCGTACCCAGGTTTCGTAAGCACCTTCTATATCTAGCCATTGTGGCCCTTGGCAAGGGTGTGATCGACGCAGCAGATTGGGGTCGCGCTGACAGGCAGCGCTTCGTTCGCTACTACGATGCAGCGCTTTTGCGCCCTGCTGCCATCTTCGTGTCTAGCTCTTTTGCTTCTTCCAAGCCGGAAGTGAGCAAGTTGCTGCAGCACTTGGTGGCTACTAAGAACAGCAAGTGGAAGCTGGCAGCCAAGTCGGCAGGCTGCACGCACATGATCTCCGACGATCATGCTTTTCGCCGTTTTCTCGAAAGTGTCAGGCGGGTGCGTCCTGGCACGGGTGTGGGGCGGCTTTCTTGCTTGAGTTTGCGGGGAGGAGTCGCAAGCAACAGTCCGAAGGCAAAGAAAGCGTGAGAAGTGAAAATGTGCATTCTGTGATTGTGCAGCGTTGTTCTTGACCGTTCGCAAGGCGTTTAGAGTACGGCCAGCCGAGTTCCCTCCACCCGCCTGCCAAGGCGGTGCGCGTGCAGCAATCACTTTGGGGCCCACCACGTCTGGAGCAGCTTGTCAGTCAGAGTTGCTTTTGGGAAAAGCAAAACAAATGTTGGACGTGAGGGTCAATGTTGGCAGACTGAATCCTTCTGCGCAGAATTTTCGGCTACCGACTGCGGTGGGTTGGGGGTTCGGTTTGCTTGGACATATGTTACAGTCCCCCGAAAAAAGGTCAAAGTAAGCTACGCAAACGGGGTCTA